TACATACAATCTGCTCTGTAAAACAGTTTTATGAAAAATACATTTAGTAAGATAATAATAAGAACTATTTTTACGATGAATATAAATTTAAAGACTAAAAGATCAAAAGAAATAGGTTAAATCCCCATTTTGGTCCCTGAACTAAAGAAATCCTTGATTTGGTCCTTAAACTATTGTACGAACCCCCGATTTGGTCCCCACTGTTTATAATTTGGTCTAAGTTGGTCCTTGAACTATTGTACGGACCCCCAATTTGGTCCTTACTGTTTACAATTTCGCCCCAATTTGGTCCCTGAGCTATTATTTAATAGAAGGACTAAGTTGGGGTTAAATTGGTAAACAGTAGGGACCAAATTGGGCATCCGTACAATAATTTAGGGACTAACTTGGAAGTCCATACAATAGTTTAGGGACCAACTCAGGGTCCGTACAATAGTTCAAGAACCAAATTAGGGATTTCTTTAGTTCAGGGACCAAATCGGGAGTCCATACAATAGTTCAGGGACCAAAATAGGGGTTTAACCAAAGAAATATAGTTAGAAGATTAAATATTTTCTTATAGAATAAGAAGATTCATTAAGAATAAGAAGATTCATTAAAGATAATGGACATTTTCGATAAAGATAATGGACTAGATAAAATTGAAATAAATGTGAAAGATAATAGACAAGATTAGAAGAATTCAAAGATAATAGATGAAACTAAAAATAATATGAAAGTTAATAAATGATTTGTTAAATTAATCCAAGTGGAAAACCCAAAAAGTGGAATATGACTTCTACTCCAACCCTAACTCGGATACTTATAACATAATATAAATATAAATATGTATTATTAGTGATTCGCTAAAATCACCAGTAAGTGCATTAATTGCTCAAATATTATCTTTTCTACAAAGATTATGACTAATTAAGTACTGAAAATAATTAATTTTAAAATTATTTGAACAATTGAAAAAGAAGAATTTTTAATTAAAACTAATTAAAAGAAAATAAAATTTAAAATAAAATTCATCAAGATATGAAGTATTAAGGCATCCGATCTCATTATAACCAATCAATATTAATTTTAGATTATTATCTTTTAAAATATTTATTACTTATGTAACAATGTAATTTCTTATCATATTCAATATATTTTCTCCAATTATATCAAATCTATTTTCACCTAAACTATAAAATTTTATATCAAATTAATCATACTACATCCGTAGGCTTAATTAGCTAAATTAACTCATAATAAGAATATTATAATACGTAACATTGCTCGTACATTTGTCGATGGGATGCCTTACTTGGTGGGGTTTTTGTTACCTCAAGTGCTGCGACAATAATACAAAGATGCTTTTGGTAAGTTATTCTTCCTCTTTGGATCTGGCAAGATAGGAACGGGTTGGAGGGTTGTTCGTTTTGCATGAATATGGTCTATCTGGCTCGCTCGAAATGATAAAATATTTAGAGGAAAGCCACAGCATTTTTTTTCTTTTTTTTTTTGGAAAAAGGTAATTACAATGATGATATTAATATCTGCTCTTTATGGGACGGGAGTGTCAATCCTGGGACTTGAACCTTCTCATCAGGGGTGCAATCACTTTTGCTTCTCAGATCAAAGCGCGGCCACTAGGGCCACACAGGTGATTGGCAAAAGCGACGGCATATTGAAGAGCTGTTTGAATTGATTCAGTTAAGATTCTTTCAATGGTTAAAAAGAATAATGGAATGCTGCTCCTTTAATTTTAATTTACATTTTGTTTGGATTGAAAAAATTAGAGGAAAAAAAGAGGAGAGTGAGTGAGAGGGAGCACTTTCTTCTGTTTGAATATATCATTTTAATGGAGGGGGGAGATTGAGGGAAATTAAGCTCATTCCCCTCCTCTGTTTTTAATACTATCGACTTAGAAGGATTAGTATGGATTATATTATTTAATTTATTTTTATTTTAAATTTTTTTAAAAATAAATGAATATAAATATTTTATTTCAACTATTTATTTAATTAATAAATTTTAAAAATTTTATTTTTCTTTATTTTATTTTTTTATT